CGCTGGGCCGGGCGGGCCGGGCCAGGTGGGGTGGGCCGGCGCACGGGCCAGTGCTAACGCCGCTGTGCGCTGTGGGCCTGCCACAGATCGACTACCCCGAGATTGCAGAGGGCATCATGCCTCGCCACCGCTTCATGTCTGCCTACGAGCAGAGGATCGAGCCCCCGGACCGCCGCTGGCAGTACCTGCTCATGGCTGCAGAGCCCTACGAGACCATTGCCTTCAAGGTAGTGACCCTGATGAGGACAGGACAGGAGAGCCGCTGATTCGGGCTGTCTGTCTGTCTGTCTGTCTGGTCCCCACCCTGGGCTGCTGCAGCCTCTGCTTCCCTCCCTCCCCAGGTACCGAGCCGGGAGATCGACAAGGCGGAGGGCAAGTTCTGGACCCACTGGAACCGAGAGACCAAGCAGGTGAGGGGCCAGAGGCCTGGCCTGGGTACCCTCCTCCCCCCTTCCCCCCCCTACTCCAGTCACTGACCTCCCTCCCCCCACAGTTTTTCCTTCAGTTCCACTTCAAGATGGAGAAGCCCCCTGCCCCACCCAGCCTCCCAGCCGGCCCCCCAGGCGTCAAGCGGCCCCCGCCCCCTCTCATGAACGGCCTGCCTCCTCGCCCGCCACTGCCGGATGCCTTGCCCCCACCTCCACCTGGTGGCCTGCCTCTGCCCCCTATGCCCCCGACCGGGCCTGCTCCCTCTGGACCCCCTGGACCTCCCCAGATGCCTCCGCCAGCTCCTGGGGTGCACCCCCCAGCCCCAGTGGTCCACCCACCAACATCTGGGGTCCATCCCCCAGCTCCTGGGGTGCACCCCCCAGCCCCAGTGGTTCACCCACCAACATCTGGGGTCCATCCCCCAGCTCCTGGGGTGCACCCGCCGGCCCCTGGTGTTCACCCAGCAGCCCCTGGGGTTCACCCAGCAGCCCCTGGGGTTCACCCAGCAGCCCCTGGGGTTCACCCAGCAGCCCCTGGAGTGCACCCGCCAGCTCCTGGGGTCCACCCTCCCCCATCAGCGGGAGTTCATCCTCAGGCTCCAGGAGTACACCCCCCAGCCCCTGCAGTTCACCCCCAGGCCCCTGGGGTGCACCCCCCAGCCCCTGGTATCCACCCTCAGGCCCCTGGAGTGCACCCCCAGCCTCCTCCTGGGGTCCACCCTGCTGCCCCTGTGGTCCACCCTCAGCCTCCGGGGGTTCACCCCTCAAATCCTGGGGTGCACCCAGCTCCTATGCCCCCCATGCTAAGGCCCCCACTCCCCTCAGATGGCCCCGGGAACATGCCTCCCCCTCCCCCAGGCAACTGAGCAGTGGCCCCTGCTGCCTGTGTGTGGCCTTTTCCCATGGCCAGTCCTTGGAAGGTTTTCTATTTTGTCCTGTCCTGAGCCTATTAAAGAGCCTCCCCCATGTCTCTGTCTGCTGTGTGCTTTTGGTGGAGGGGATGGGCGGGGACTGAAGGCACGGTGACCCTGGCTCCGGCCTCCTCCAGGTGGGCCCCCTAGGCAGATGGGGACTACCCAAGGACAGCTCTGGCTTCTGCGGTGTGGGCCTGCCTCCGGGGACAGAGAACCCTTTGAGACGGCCACCCCCCACCTGCTGGGCACACAGGGCGCTGTGCACTGTCCCCCAAGGTCACCTCCGGAGTTGATAGGGTGTCCTCCCAAGCACGCTGGCCCAGCCATACATATAGGCAGGGCCTCCCTCCGGGCCCTCGCTGCCGCACCATGCAGAGACCACCCCTCTCCCCGCTGGCGCTACTGCTGGTGACGGCGGGGGCCGTGCTGCGGGCCGAGACCCTCAGAGAAGAGCTCAAAAGAGCCGCCAGCCCCAGGGGCCTCATCTTCCTGGAAGACGGGGTCTGGCCCCCAAGCACTCCCCCAGAGCCCCTGTGCCTGGTGACACTGAGAGGCGTGGGCAACACGAGCGGAGCCCCGCTGAGGGTGGTGGGGGGCCTGCACAGCCATGAGCGAGCCTTCCTGGAGGCCATTCGGGAGTCTCGCTGGGGACCCCAAGACCTGGCCACCTTCGGAGTCTGCAGCTCTGCCGCCCAGGCTACCCTGCCGGCGCTGCAGCACCTTGGGGCCTGGCTGGGCGAGCCTGGGGGTCAGCAGGTGCTGGTCCTACATCTGGATGAAGGTACGTGAGTGAGGGCACTGTTGGGACCCTGAGGCTCCTCCCAAGGTCTCGGCGGAGGCTGCCAGGCAGAGCCTTGTGCACCCATGGGTGAGCTGCATTGGCAGGGTGGCAGGGCACAGCCCCAGACTGCTTCCCAGACAGGCACAGGTCACCCGGCCCTTCAAGCAAGGTCCTCCCTCACACCTTGGGTCAGTCCTTCAGGCCTGCATGGCCCCAGGAGACCCGGCAGATTCCCGCCGAGGGACTCCGTAGGACAGGTGGGAAGCCAGTGGCCTCAGTCGTCACCTCTGTTCGCCCACAGTGACATGGGAGCCCACGCTCTCGCTGAAGTTCCAAGAGCCTCCCCCCGGGGGAGCCAGCCGCTGGGAGCAGGCCCTGCTGGTGCTGTACCCTGGACCCGGCCCCCAGGTCACCGTCACAGGGGCTGGACTGCGGGGCACACAGGTACCTGGGAGTGGACTGGGGCCCTCCCCCACCAGCCGGCTGGTGGAAGGGTCCCTGGGGCCAGGAGTACCCCTGGGAGTCTCCTCCCAGTATGGGAGGGGTGGCGCCTGGTACCCTGGCCATCCCTACCGGTCCAGCTGAGTGCCCGTGTCCACAGATCCTCTGCCCCACTCCGGACACCCGCTATTTGGTGCTGGCTGTGGACCTCCCAGCGGGGGCCTGGAGCGGCCCCGGCCTCGCCCTAACCCTTCAGCCACGCCGAGAAGGTAGGCCCCGGGCGGAGGGAGGGGACGGCCAGGGAGAGCTGCCTTAGCCTTGGCTCAGACCCGGTGCCCGCCCTCCGTGCCCGCCCTCCGCAGGTGCCGCCCTGAGCATCGGCCAGCTGCAGGCCTTTCTGTTCGGCTCTGACGCTCGCTGTTTCACACGCAAGGCCCCCACCCTGCTGCTACTGCCCCCCGCCCAGCCCGCGCCGCAGCCAGCGCAGGGCCAGCTGGACACCGTGCCCTTCCCGCCGCCGCCGGGGTGCGCAGGGCTGGAGCAGGAACTGGGGAGATGGGGAGGGAGGAGGCGCAGCCACAGCCTCTGGTGCTCACTGGCCCGCTGCGCTCTCTTCCAGGCTGTCCCTGGAGCCCGAGGATCTGCCACACAGCGCCGACCCCTTCCTACAGACCCTCACTCGCTTGGTACGTGCCCTGCGGGGACCCCCGACGCAGGCCTCGCACACGCGTCTGGCCTTGGACCCTGGGGCGCTGGCCAGCTTCCCACAGGGCCTGGTCAACCTGTCGGACCCCGTGGCGCTGGAACGCCTGCTCGATGGGGAGGAACCCCTACTACTGCTGCTGTCTCCCACTGCGGCCACCGTGGGGGACCCCACGCCGCTGCAGGGCCCGGCCTCTGCTTCCTGGGCAGCCGGCCTGGCACGCAGGGTGGCCGTGGAGCTGCAGGCTGCGGCCTCAGAGCTGCGGGGCCTCCCGGGCCTGCCCCCCGCTGCGCCCCCGCTGCTGGCGCGCCTGCTGGCGCTGTGCCCCAACGACTCCCGCAGCCCCGGGG